CCCACACACAAACACACACACACACACACACACACACACACACACACACACACACACACACACGGTGCACTCTGAGGCGGACTGACCAGCGTGAAGCCACAGAGTCTCTGGCTGTTTCTCAGTTGTGCTGTGATTTCATTTTAACTCCACCGCCAAAGTGACATTGCGCGACCTCGCGGCTGCCCAGAGATGAATGTTTGGTGGACTGACCAATGTTTGTGTACGTGTCGCTGTGTCACTTAAAACCCAGGAATATATTTCTAGCGTGTGTGAAAGCTTACTTTGACGAAGTCATCTTAAATAACATGTGCTAGAAGACAGCAGACCAGCAGAATACATGTCCTTCAACGCTTCAGAGTTTTTCCCAAAATAAAGTGAAGCAGTTTATTCTACGAGGTTGGCAGCTGATGCAAAGTGTTAGCTTTGCACAAGATGCAGCTGTGTTGTGGCTCAGCCATGTTTCCTGAGTTGAGTGGGTGTGTAACAACCACAAAAGGGGCATGTGCACTACTTAAATAATGGGTGTTGAATCCATGTCACGATGACACCAAATTTAAATCCCCTCATTTTGCTTTTGTGGTTCAAAGGCTACTGCATGCAAACGACAAACTGCCGAGATGTCAAGGTCCATTGTCAGTTGCTATGTCTCTGACCTCATGGTATATCCATGATATGAAAACACTGAAATGGTATATTCATAGTTATTAAATAATGTCAAATGAAAGAAGGCAAAAATGTTACTATCAGCTGGGAGAGCGGTACACTGCTCTATCCGAAACAGACCAGTAAAACCAGGAGTACACCGTACACACACCTAATATCTGACAGAGAACCTAGACTGAGGCCTCAACTCGAACCCCCAATTTTGCTGCTGTAGATTGCAAATTTCCCCAATGTGGGGATAATCTTATTTTACCAACGCCCTTCCTTGATCTGTTCAAAAATACGTCCAGATTGGTGTGCATGCATCGTCCAGAAGATGGCAGTGATGTTTAGCTTCACGTTTGTTCATACGGTACAGTACCTCGCTTGTCCAAAACAGCAACGGAGTTGTGACCCAGAACTGCTTCTGCGGCTCTACTGTAGAAATGAGTCTGTGCAGTCGAGGTAAGATATGAAGCCCAAACCCGAGCCCATCCCGACCCGACCCAAAATTCGGGTCAGGTCGGGCCTAAAATGTTAATCATTGCTTCGGGTTGGGTCGGGCCGGGCTTCTCCCTCGCTGACTTTTTTAAAAATAAAATTCTGTTTATATGTTCTTTGTCTCTCTGCTTCTCTCTCTTGTGCCGAGCTAGATTCTTAAGGACGCACTCCTGCTGTGGTTTATGGCCCAATTTTCAACCCGTCAAAATGACGGACGGTCTTATATTTTTCTCATCAACTCTTAAAAAAATCCGTCAATGATGGAAAATTGTCGGTTAATGTACCCTCTGCAGAAACAGAAATATAAAAGATGTAAATGTTTATACAGTCTTGTTTAACTTAGATTTCGTTACAAAAGATAGGCTTTAATTTGTTATCAGAAATCGCCCCACCTCCTCCCGAGTCCTCACAAATGAAATATGAAATTTCGTGTTTGCTTCGGGCTCGGGCCTGCAAATCAAGTTAATTGGTCGGGCTCGGGCCGGGTCGGGCTTTAATACCCGCGGGCTGGATTTTTTTAGGCCCGATCTTACCTCTACTCTGCAGAGGCCCACGGATTAGTTCTCAATTTTTTTTTCATGCTTGATTTTCCCATCAAGATGCAACTTAGACGTTTGCCCGTCGTCCTGAAAACACTATAGAAATGGGAAAACAGTGGCACACATTCCTTAAACAGTGCATGATAAAATTAACTGTCTTTCAAAGTACAAATCATCAAAACAAAAACTTGGAAGTGAACGACAAATTGCACACCAAAATGGTAACGTTTTTGCCGTCATTGCCAATACATGTACCCTACTGTGAAAAACCAAAGCAATGGTGGTCTCAGATATTTGCAAAGTCTTGCATAACAAGGACAATGAAAACTCAGTCAAGCTTCGTAAGTGAACACCTCTCTCAGCAAACTGCCTCACTATTTGCACAGGTGACGGGATCAAGTAAAGACCTCCGTTTGTTTGCATGTCTTTAAAAGCGCTGCTCGATGACCTCACCTCTCCTGGCCAGGCCATCTTTGCTAATGTATATCCTGCACAGTAACTGTTTCAGGAATGGATGGTGAACAATCAAAGGGTCACCTGTTGGGCCTTCACTGTTTTTCACGCCATTTTCATCAAGGCAACACTGTCTGCGACCCACCAGCCTTTTTTTTAGGGGGGGGGAGAGCTGCTAGGCAACAGAAACAGTCGCCCCGGCAACATGGGCCGGATTTACTGTTTGTGCTTGAGTGTTACACTCGTACTCTTTCAAAGTACTGTAAATTATGGCAGAATTATGCCCTGTGTGTGCCTGTGGAAGTAATTTAGTGCAGGCGCTGGCACATAATTTCTTTCGGATAATGATGGAGGAGAAATTCAGCCTCCTACTATGTGTATAGGCTCTTCAAGTAACAACAAAACCCTTGGGGGCACTTTCGACAGGTTTATCTATTTTCCTTGTGGAAAGAACAGAAGGACGTGTGCCATATGAACAATCCGGGACTGTAATTATTCACGTGGGGAAGAAAAGACTTAAAGCTAGTAGTCACAAATGTGCACTGGGTGGCAGTAAAAGCAGGTTTTCCATCTCTCAGCGTTGCCTTCCTTGTGCATGCAACTGCTGCCATCAACAATTCTCCAGTGAATTTGACCCTCTGCGTTAAAGCAGAAAAAGCAGGACAGGGCAGTTGGAAGCTGATATTGTAGTTGAACCAATCACGCCAGCATCTTATAAACCGGTGAATCAAGATTTTGTCAATTAGAAATACACCATAGACTGGTCACCAGCCGATCATAGGGCACGCATCGGCAACCATTCTGAATAAAAATCAAAGCCATGGGCAAGTTAAGAGTTTTCAGTGAACCTTCAACACCTAACATTCATGGGAGGAAGACAGGGTGACAAAGCCACACGAGCACGGGGAAAACATGTCAACGTCTGAGGCAACAGATAGACCCAAAACACCGGAATCCTATTTGCTATTCATATTCACTCGCTATGCACACTCTGAAGACTTTTTAAACACACACATTACACACATACACATTACGATAATTGTTCTTTGTAGTTGTTTTCAGGAGTGTCGAGTAGGCTTTCCTCAAAGACTTTGCTCACCTTATCGAAAATAAAAAATAACTGCAAGCAAAATTTACCATAATAAGCCACAATCAGTGAACACAATAAGTTCAATCTGTGAACAGTGCAGTCCTCACCTCCTCACGCTTTTGGGAGAAAGTTGGAAGATATGCCGGCTGGAGATTTAGTATCATCGAACTAAATCTCTGGAAGTGCGTACAGTTTTGAAGGACTCAAGGAAATGACCAAAATTACCCTGCAATGGACGCTTTCAAACAAAATGGCAGACTTCCTGTGTCTTTTCGGGTATGGCTTCTTGGGCCTTTTTTTCTTTGTCCACAGACAGGAGACGGCCTGTGTGGTGGGTCTGCAGGGAGCACACATGCAACAAATGGTTTGCATTTCTATTTTTATTTCTCAGTGCACGACAACTATGGCACGATCACACGCTTAAAACACACAAAGAAGTCGGGGTGGGTGGGAATAACTGATTTGCTGGATGAATTTTGGCTGCATCATACAAGATAATTCCACAAACGTGACAGGCAGGCCAGTAAGCAGACTGGTAGACGACTGGCTTGGTGAGATGTGGCTCAAAAAAAACTTGGTGGTGATTCTGAACTGGAACTGATTCTTCGATTTTTTCTTCATCGAAAAAATCGATGGGTTGTGTCGTGTGATTAAACTGTGGCAAGACAAGATGAATGTGCTGTGAATGCTGAACAGTTTGTGGTATGGCCACATGACAGAAGAGTATCACTGTGTACTTTGGTGAAGATGCATTGGCCAATACAGTGCTTGATATGCTGCGCTTTGCTATGCACCTCGCAAGGCAGCTCCTTCAGAAGTTGTCCTTAAAATGGTTCTCAAAATATATATATATATTTGCTAATGCTGCAATTCATGACATTTTACATGCAGTTTGTCATCTGTTATTGCAAATTGTTGGAAAACTGCTGATAGGAATTTACTTGTATGTCCTGGCTAATAGAGGGTTTGAGTGGGCAGCAAATTCAAACGGGTGATTTAGATGAGTTATTTTTTTTCCATTTATTGTCAGGATTTGGATATGATAACTACATGACGAGTTCACAATCTTACTAGAAAGATGAATGCTGAAAAAGACATATCAGAACTGATTTCACAGGACAGCCCTTTCATCCATCCATCCATCCATCCATTTTTCGATCCGCTTATCCTCACAAGGGTTGCGGGGGGCTGTTCTGGAGCCTATCCCAGCTGTCTTCGTGCAGTAGGCGCGGGACACCCTGAACCGGTTGCCAGCCAATTGCAGGGCACACAGAGACGAACAACCATCCGCACTCACACTCACACACAGGGAGAATTTTAAAGTGCTCAATCAGCCTGCCGTGCGTGTTTTTGGAATGTGGGAGGAAACAGGATTACCCGGAGAAAACCCACGCAGGCCCGGGGAGAACATGCAAACTCCACACAGGGAGGCCGGAGCTGAAATTGAACCCGGTACCTCTGCACTGTGAGGTCAACACCCTAACCACTGGCTTACCGGGCCGCCCAGCCTTTTCATATTTATGCATTTAATATTTGTTGACTGACTGTGAAAAGAGTTTATTAGGCAGCATATTTTGCGTAAGATTCTGTGTATCATAAATAGATAAATTATTATATCATATTGTGCTATTTGTATTATTATTATTTTTTTTTTTACAATTTGAAACCACAAGCAGAAGCCTATCAGTTTGTATGTAAATCATGATTTGTAAGTACATATTCAAATTCGGTCAGTGTAAAGTTTCATGCTGATGACGCTGCATGGGAGCAGCCATAGCAAATCGTTTTCTCATGAGTCAGTCCCGCCACTTTAGTGCTGGAGCTCGCGATCCACTGCCGAAGCTCCTCAGTGGCTGCTGGGATTCACAGTAATGGCTTCAGTAGTATGACGCGTGGTCGTCTTCATCCTTCCTTTTCCTGCAATGTGAAGCTATGGAGAAAAAAAAAGATAAACACATGAACAGATTACGACCAAAATGCCTAAAAAAACGGCAGAGTAGTTTACTTTGCTTGCTATTTCTAACCATCACTCCCACAAACACTTGATTGTGGTTCTCTTAGAATTTCCTAGGAAATTACTGAGCATGTTTCATCCCAGGAGACCAATATTCTAGCGATCAGGTGTTGTTTGCTGAAACCTTGCTCCCATTGTGAATATTTGTGAAACTTCTCTGAAGGAGTGAAAGCATAAAGTCGACGTGTAGACCCACTTCTCTTTTAACACACACAAAAAAAAACAAGAACAACAAGAACAACAACAAATAGTTAGATAGATTAGAAAAATTGGTTTTGGTTTAGAACATGTGAGCGCATTGACTCAAATCGGATAAAATAGTTCCACTTTAAAATATATCACGGTCCATATCAAGTTGTCTCTTATTGGAAAGATACATCTTTAAAAGAAAGGTCACATTGACAGTGATCTCCAAACAAGTTCATTCATACAGCAAAATAGCAAGACGAAAATGATTGGGTCATACCCTCTCAACTTTTCCATATTGAATGGGATCATAATCCCACTGAATCTAATCAAATCGATCCACTTCAAAAATAAACTGAGCTTGAATTGTATCACACCCCGTGTCGAATTGTCTTTTGCAGTATTTATGGCCCAAGGAAAGCATCAAGATGAAGTGGCAACTAATGTTCTATACAGTAAATTCCCGCTATTCACAGCGGAAGGGGCCCTGCCGCAAACAGACAATAAATGTGATCAACAACCTAACTCATTTCACGTCCACGCTCATCACTCATAACACTCATATATCAAATTATCTTTCGCTGTTAAAATGAACTGCAACGCCATTAATCCATTCAAGTGTGCCTCAAAACTTTTTTTCTTTTGATTCCAAAACATCAACATACCACAACAAAGGACAACAACATACCCAAACACAACACTTCATACACACGCGTGCGCGCGCACACACACACACACACACACACACACACACACACACACACACACAAAAGAATATCAGTGCAACAGTAACATAACTGCGATCCACAAATGACGTTTTATAAAGCATAACATTTGCTAGTTCTTGTCTGGTTTGGTTTATGACATTGTTATTGGCACCCAAAGGAAGAAGTAAAAGGGCACACCAGACTGTAGAGAATACTGTTGTATGTTTCCTGGTATGTGATCTGCCTCCTTTGTTTGTTGGGAGGCTGGGGGGGGGGGTCGTATAAAAATGACCCGAGTTGAATGTAATTGTGCAGCTTGTTGGCTTGAGTTGATCATGCCTTGTATGGAATATCAGTTGCAATCAGATAAAAGTTTATACCAATTACTTTCACAGTCAAAGCACGGTGGCCTTCTTCGGGAGAAAACACAGTTGCTATCAGTGTACTCCCATTTGCCATTTATTGTATTTTTGTTGTTGCTTGTTTGCTAATGACAGCAAGCATCCCCTAGTCCTGCAATCTCTCATGGAAGTTCATCAGTTTTTCCCAACACAACACGAAGACTGATGTTATGAAGTCCACCGGACATGTCTGTACAGGAAGACTCACACGCTTCCATACAGACAAGAGAAATACAGATGGAAATAACTTGATTAGAACTCTGCTTAAAATTATTTTTATCTTTGTGGTCTAGTAGTGGTGGTGGTGGTGGTGGAAGGGGGCGGGGGGGGCAAAACACAACTAAAGTCATCTGCACACATTAATTCATAGGATGTGCAATTACACTTTACTCGAGTACAGCAATAAATAAATACATAAATACATAAATGGGTCAATAATAAGAAGTAGAAGAATGCATGTTCCTCAGTGCCAAACGTGCCCTCCCCCTGGGGAACCAGCCCCGCTGTTATGACGTCATGACGTGACTAATTAGTTTTTCATTATTTGGCTGAATGTGAGTGATATGTGCTGCCTTTTCATTTCACAAATCACTTTGGGCTTTTTTCTGTCATCAGTCACATCATCACTAAAGAGCAGTGAACTTGTTCCAGTGGCGTACATGCCTACCGTATATGTTGTTCTGATTTTCTGCTGGTCCTGTCAGGGGTCACCACATGATTTGTTGACCATAGTTGTTTTTTTTTTTTGCCTTTCTGACACGACGCACCGATTTATCTGGGTATGAGGATGATGACCGGGAAATGAACCTTCATCGTCGGCATGGAAGACAGCAGCAAATACTGGACCACTACAGTACCAGAGTATGTAGCATGTGGCCCCTATCAGAACACTGCCTCCATTCTGTTTGATGTGGTATGCTTTGGGGCATGCGCTGCACTTGGGCATATAGGCTATTTTCGCAAGTGAACTTTTCTCCTGCAAGAATCCGATTTCACAACATTGGAGACCTTTTTTTTGTTGTCTGCCTAAAATCTTAATTTCCCAGGGCTTTGCATCTTGTTTTAAACCGTCTGCCTTTACATTCCTGTCTCAATATTTTAGATCTTAGCAGACACCCAATTTCAGTGAAAACTGCGCAATTTATACTTTTTAAAGGCAAACAATTCTTCAGTTCGTGGCCTGACCTCCACTCAATAGTGCATGCTTTTTACCAAGAGTGAAGACCAGGTACATTTTGCCCTGCCAATCAGAGATGCCGGAATAGGGCGATCTCTGTGTCTTGACCAATGGAGAAGCACTGTACTGTCGCGATTGCATAGCACAATTAACCCTGTCATGAACCCTGTAACGGATCACGTGATAAGTTGTCCACTGTAGTAACCTCTATCCCTGAAAGGGTTAAAGTAAATGACCATAAAAATACAAGACATGTAATGTAGCCTACTCAATGGCATACAAAATATTATCCCGCAAAGAAGAATCTGTCAAGAAACGTTGCCGTATGTGTGTTCCCCTTGAAAAGGGATCCACTTTAGTGACCCATAATAATAAAACATGGGCTGTTTTGTTTTGTTTTGTTTTTTTATGTGTTTTGATGTGCTACAAACCCAGGATAACTGTGTAAATGGACAGTGGGTGTAAGTTGGCTCATGTATACAACGCAATTGGTTTTTCTCATTGGTCAAACTAACAGGGGCATTTTTAGTCCACGTTTTTGTCAACCCTTTGCACAAACCCATCCCTCCAAAAAGCTTCTGGCCCACCTGAGTGTGCTGTTGGACCCTGAGATGTATGACCAAACGAAACCTACATGCTTCCATGAGTGGGGTGAATAATTACCCCAATTAGAATGAATGATTTTTATATTTCTCATTTTGATTAAAGATGATTATTTTTTTAATTATTTTTTTTTAATCAGTAAAGGAACTCTTTCACGTTTGGCGGGTTAATTGATGACTTTTTCCTGAACATTTGATCACAACACAGTCCTCAATCGGGAGGTTAGATCCCATAAAAAGGCTCTCCCTCAATTAAGGATTATTTGTATGGCAATGAATTCCGCAAAGAATTTTAACAGCCATGCCGGTCTAGATGGGAACAAAAAATATTTTTGAAAGGCACAATATAAGCATATTTGAGTTTCACGGCAAAGACTTATGTGTAGATTTGGATTTTCTTAACATTACCCCGTGATTAACATTATTGTCATTATTATCTGTAAGGGTGGATTGAATAAGGCTTAGCCTCCACTTCAACTTGGAGTAACTCCAAGTGTACTGTCAGAGCGAGACTGTGTGGGCCGCTGACAATGTTGACAGGGCTGCCGTGATATGAATGCGAGCATTTCTCTGAAAACAAAGTAGCCTGAGTATTGAGAGTCACCCTTATGCGAAGTCCCTCAGCACTCAAGAGATCGGGCTTCTTATCGACTTTTTTTGTCAAGTCACAGCTGTCAATAGTCTGCCCCCCATTTCTGCAGCAGACAGACAGCATAGCTGACTGTAAGAAACAAGCGTTTGAGGTTAATAGTTCATTCATTAAACTCCCTTAAAATGACATTTTCTTTTAAGATGATCCACTGTCTCCTGTTTCATAGCGATATTGCTGATGGCTGTAAAATGCCACCAGCAGTATTTATGATACATGCAGCGCCGTAAAGCAAAAGAGCAAATATTTAGAATTGAGATATCATGCTTCCATAAAACTAAGTTACATAATGAAATAGAAGTATTTCAGCCAATTGTATGTTGTAATATAAAGGAGAAATGAATGAATGCCTTTACGTTACGGGTACACTTATAAATAACATTCTAAACATCTAAACTAATCCTTGACAGGCACATGTCTCACAATCTGGCTCAAACTCGTGCTACAAATTATTTAGTTTCAACTCTGATCTGGAAACACCAGTAGTTTCTATGAACTATATGGTACCTACCAAAGGAGACCACATATTAGATAATGAAAGTAATGTAATTCAGGAATTACAAGAATTTTAAAACTAACCAACAGGCAAAAGCAGATTATTGTAGCTAAATGTTTAAGTGTTATAATTAATAACCCATAGCACGTTATTATGGATTTATAATATGTTAAACTAAGTAATAACTTATTTATAAACCCTTAATAAGTATGCCGTTATAAATGGTATCAGCGTTATTTATTCATATTGTCAGTTGTTAAAGTTTATGAAATATTGATTCAATACTACACACGAACATTATTTATTCTGTTGTATTTTATTTCCATTAGCAACCGGTACTTATGATTCATGTCACTTTTTGTTGTTCATGTTTTTGTTGATTAAAAACTTTGCTGTAGTCTGCTTGTGGCTGCACTTTGGTGTGACATTGAGCCAAATGTTATGCAGTTCCAACTTCGGTATAAACTGTGGTAAACAGCCTGCGCAGCTAATTGGACAGAGTGTTCTGTGCATGTATGATAAAGATTTATCTGATGTGCTTGGTGTTGGGCATGGTCCTCGGAGGCCCTCACCACTGGCAAGGAGCCATGCTAATATTTGCTGATATGTGCCACAAATCTCCATGTGTCAGCCGTACAAGGGCAGTAAATCCACTTCCTCAATACTGACCGCCAAAAGCTCCATTAATAATATGATATTTTCCAACCCATTCCAATTCAGGAAATGAATTACACACTTTATAAAAGAACCGATAATGTTGCAGTCCTTTTGTATTCAAATTCAAGTATTAAGTTCCAGTTTAATTTTGTAATGTTGAAACAGCAAATGCTTCAGATGAGTTCTTTTCTGAAGAAAGCCTAATGTGGACACCTGTACTGAATTAATAAACTAAACATTGCTGTCATATTAATATGCAGGATGATGAACAGAATTAACTAATGTGATGTGATATATTAAGAGCATTTTTATCAGACCTCCACAATATTAAGTCAATATTTCCAAATTCCAGCTCAGAACATGATTATAGCATTTTCCAATTAACCGCGTCTGCTTGTTGCATTTCTTCATCTTCCCGATTTTTTTTTACTATTGATTGAAAAATATACTTCTTATTTTATTTATTATTCTTTTGTTTTTTTGGAGAGTGCGCATAAACCCTGCTAAGAATCAAATTTATTTTTAATAATGAATCGAGAAAGAATCATTTGGATGCATTTCCTTTTCATCATTTTGTTGCGTTGTAATCAAACGGCACGACCTGCTGCCTGCTCTCTGCCTCACCGCCCCCTTCCTTGTCTGTGTCACCTGCTCCCTGATTGTTTTGCCCTCACCTGTTTCAATTACCCAATCAAGCCCCTGTATATATTCCCCTCGTGGGGCTTTTTTTTTTTTTTTTTTTTTGCCTTACGCCTGTTGTCTGGATTAAAAATGTTTTGCCCTTTCCAACTCTGAGTTGTGCATTTGAGTCCAAAACATTTGTGCTTTTTCACAGGATTCTTTATCTGCATCAGGATGTCAAAATGTGGTAAATAGCCTAATGTGACTCGTTTTGTTTTGTTTTTTTTTTTTTGCCATGACTTTGGTTGGTTGTTGATGAACTGTCTCATGACAGCCCAATAACACTATACTTAACTATGTTGAGTACAAGGGTGAGATGAGGGCATTGCTGCAGATGTTCCTGAATATTTGCATGTAGAAACAAGCAATACGCAAAAAAAACAGCAGCATTCAGAAAAATGTATCATTAAGTGTGCAAAAGTGAAAATAAAGGTTAAAAGAAAAAACACTTACAATCTGGCGTCTCGTTGTGATACGTCATTGAACTGTGTGCTGCCGTTGGACTGGAGAGTAACTGGGGAAGCCTCTTCACTCTTGTTCCCTCGAGTACTGGCCACGCTACCAGTTGGAGTTTTCTGGAAAGAACCTGCCAGGCCCGACTCAGCCCGCCATTGAAAACAGGAGCAGCGTGTCTGCACTTCTTTATAGAATGTGTTGAGCCACAGAGTGGACAGCCATGGACAGCCCAGAAGGTTCTTGAAGGCAGCGCGGAACTCCGGGCTCCGGCAGTAGATGATGGGGTTGAGGCCAGAGTTGACATAACCCAGCCAGTTTAAGAGTCTGAAGATCCTCTCCGACGGAACGCTCCGGTCAAAAGCGTTGATGATGTTGGCAACAAAAAACGGCAACCAGCATATCGTAAATGTCCCCATGATGATCCCCAAAGTTTTTAGGGCCTTGTGTTCTTTAACAAGCAATAACCGCGATGGTCTTCGCTTGACGCCTTTCCGCCCCGTTCCACTGTTGCACATACCCTGGTTCATGCACACCGACTGGAGGGCTGGATTGTCCATTTGCATTGTTGTACATTCATGCTTGAAACGCGTTCTGCTTTTATCAATGAGCTGCACCTGCCGTCTTGCTATTAAGAAGACCTTTGCATACACAAAGATCATGATAAAGAGAGGAATGTAAAAAGACACTGTGGAAGATACGATGGCATAAGCCCGGTTGGTGACAAAGTCACAGCAAGCAGGGTCATCGTAGCACATTCTGGCTTCGTATTCATCGTCTGCGCGCCAGTATCCTTTCATAATTGGCACAAAGGAGATTAAGGCGGAAACGAGCCACACCAAGCAAACGATTGCCCTGGCACGCCACTTACACAGTAAAACTTGGTGTCGGAGCGGCCTCGTAATTGCTATGTAGCGGTCCACCGCTATCACACAGAGAGTTTCTATGCTCGCCGTCACACACAAGACATCCACTGAAGTCCAGAAATCACACGAGGTTTCGTCAAGCTGCCAGTTGCCCGTCAGCACAATGGTGGCCCCCAGGGGCACAACCAGGACGCCCATGATGAGGTCAGCGCACGCCAGTGACATGATGAAAATGTTTGTCGTCGTTTGGAGTTGGGAAGTAGAAGCTACAGCGATGATGACCAGCAGGTTTCCCACCACGATGATGATGATGACAGCGACCAGTACGAGGAGGAGCCAGGATCCCGCCGCCGGGTGGTAGGGGGCCGTGTTGTTCCTCAAAGCAGCCGATGCACTTAGGTTGCCGTCCATTATTCACCAACTCAGACACTACAAGTTTGGCACAGCAACGTTTTTTATAAAAAGTAATAAATAGGGTAATTGCTTGCAAAAAACAGATGTTCTTACATTTCTCGCCTCAGGAGGATCGTTTGACCGCACTCAAACTTCAGCCCGGGCTTCCCATGCTTCCACAAACGAGGACCTCTTAATGGAGTCAACATGTTCTCTACAAAAAATACATTTCCCTCAATGCTGAAACAATAAAAGTTCACAGAGTCGGTAAAAGTCCAAATTTGGATTAAAAAAAAGTCTGCCTTATAAAGTACAACATCAGAGTAACCATCACAGATAGCTGTACAATAGACAACTGCGACAGTTTGAAAATGAAAGAGAACAGTTGAGCCAAAGCAAGAAGTACACGAGTGCATCAGCGTGAGAGCCCACCTTTTTTCAACTGCTCTCTTTGGTTCCCTCCCTCGCGCTCTCCCTCTCTGCTGTCTAAGTGTATTGGCCGAGGGGAGGAGTTGAAGAGCGTGAACGCTGTCCAGTGTGCAGAAAACAAGCACTCAACACTCAATCATGAAGATACATACTGTTTAAGGTCACAACATCGAAACAATGAGTTTACGTGTACAGTGATACTTCGCGGTTCGTTTATCGCGGCTTCAGTGCATCCGGATTTTTTCAAACATATAACATTTTTTTTTTTTTTTTTTTT